GCTTTTGAACTGTGGTGTTGGAGAAGACTCTTGAGAGTCCCTTGGACTGCAAGGAGATCCAACCAGTCCATCCTAAAGGAGATCAGTCCTGGGTGTTCATTGGAAGGACTGATGTTGAAGCTGAAACTCCAATACTTTGGCCAGCTGATGCGAAGAGTTGGCTCATTGGAAAAGACCCTGATGCTGGGAAAGGTTGAGGGCAGGAAGAGAAGGGGACGACAGAGGATGAGACGGCTGGATGGCATCACCGACTCGATGGACATGAGTTTGGGTAAACTCCGGGAGTTGGTGATGGACGGGGAGGCCTGTGTGCTGCGGTTCATGGGGTCGCCAGGCATTGGACACGGCTGAGCGACTGCACGGGACTGAAGCCTCTCCTGTTTAAGCTGATCCGTGTGCGTCCTCATGGTGTGCTGGTTTTCCCTACTCTTCCCTTGAAAAGATGCATCATTTCTAGAAAGCATTGTTTTCACCCAAAATAAATTTTATTAGCAAAAGTTTACCAGAAGAATTAGTTGACTAATAGGAGAAGGAATAATATTTCTTAAGAAAGAAAAAAAAATGGTGAGGTCTTTTGTGGTTAGCAGTGATATAGTTAATATTTCAGCAAACCAGATATAGACCAAACTGAAGCAGAGTACTTCTTAGTATCAGGTATTTTTGTCTCCTTTCTGGTTCTGCTAGGGTGACAAAATAGTCAAATGTGTCTGTTTTCATCAGTCATCGATATTATTGGTAAATGCATAGTCAGATTGCGAAGGTCTGAGTCATTACTCAAATATCCGCCCTGGTGGAATTGAGGCAGTGAGCTGGAATAGTCTCAGATGTCTCATTTCTGTAGAGCTTAAATGATTAGGGAGATCCCAGCCCTCTCTAAGCATCACTGGAAGATTTAGCAAAGTCTTACAGAGCCCCCAGCAGCTGTGGTTTCCTGTGTGATCTCTGATGGCACCTTGCTCTTGGCAGGGTTAGTATGTTTATGCTCCAGGCACCTGAGAAAGCTTCACCATTACTGGTCACCTCTGGGACAGTTAGAACGTTATGTCTCTCTTTATCAGAACTCTGACTTTCATCCTTTCTATTCTGAACCAGCCTAAGGTTAGAGGCTGTAATTTTTTTGAGATTTTTGTTTTTCCATTTTAGGGGAAAATAATTGCGTTTTCTGACTTTAGAGTCTTTTCCCAGTAGACCAGGGTGCAGCTAGGAAAGTGAACAAAGGAGCTTGTTCTATCACCAAGAAATTTGAAAGCTCTTCTCTATGATTATATTACTAAAACTTAAGAGAAATATGTGTAATTGGCCAAGAATCCTGTGTTTATTAGACCGCAAGTAGAATGTCCATTTTTCCTTTTTCTAATTAGACTCTAGGCTGTGGTGAGAGCGTTTGATGCTCATTACTTAGACAAAATGATGCCTATCCATTGCTTACACAGAGGTTGCTGAGCTTTATCTCATGGCCACACATCTCTTTGGTGTAGGTGGCAGTGATTTTGATGGTGTTCTAAATTCTGTAGAGAAAGTATTAGCAACCTTTTTCTGTAAAATCTCAGATAATACGTACTTTAATCTTTATAGCCATATGATGTCTGTGCGAGCTCAGTAACTCAGCCACTGGAGCATGAAAGCAGCCACAGCAAAGGTGTAAACTGATGAATGAGGCTGTGTTTCAATGAAACTTTATTTATAAACACATTTAATGGGCCATGCTTGGCTTGTGGGACATAAGAGTGTAAAACTGATTCAGTGGTGTGGTTGAAAGCTCGTACCAGCTTCCTCCATCTCTCTTGGGCCCCCTGTTGAAAACTATAACCTAGATTACAGAAGGGGAAAGCTGCTTTATTATTCTATCAAGTCTAGATCTAATCAGAAGCAGAATCCCTCTTTGAGGGCCTTTGCACTTGTTCTTCTTTCAGCCCTGGGTGCTTATAGCCAGAGAGCAACATGGCTTATACCTTGCCTTCCTCAAGGCCTTGCTCTAAAGTCTCCTTTGCATTGAGGCCCCGACACTAAAGTTAATATTATCACTTCCCCCTCTCCCATCACCCCATCGCTCCCTTAACTGCTTTGGTTTTCTCATCTCTCAGACACTAGGTGATTTATTTAAAGCATAGGTGCTCCATGGGGACAGTCATCGCTACTGGCTTTTGTTGACTGCAGTATCCTTAGCAGCTGGAGGGTTGCCTGGCAGTGGTAGATAACTCAGTGTTTGTTTTTGAATGAATTAGTAAAAAACATAGTGTTAGACATCTTTTCAGTTTTCCTAAAACATCTATTTTTTAAAAATTTATAGTAATGTAATAAAAACTAAACTCCAAACACTCTAATGATTGGAAATCTGCCTGTTCTATGGACTCTCAGCGCGCTTACTGAAATTCTGTTTACTCCCTTAAGACAAGTGCAACTGTTGTCAGAACACAGTTTAAAGCAAATAATAGCCATACTCAGTTATCCTTCTCCAAGTAATGTTTGAAACTATCCTCAGTCATGAGTGACATTAAACAAAGTAGTCAAATTCATAATCTGGATTTATTTCACATGATCGAGTGTTTGCTTTGAAATGGAAATGCCAGTTCTGAATCAATACAAAGTATGTGAAAGCTGTCCAATATTTAGTAAGAAAATAATTGTATAACACCATGCAACCAGAGAAATATGGAAACACATCCAGCTGAGTTTAAAGTACAAAAATTTATTTAAGTTTTTGAGTGAACTAATTATAATATAGATTTATATTATCGGTTTTAAAAAAATAAATGAAAAAAAACTTAGTGAAATGTTGAACTTGGGCCTGTTATTAGTGTTTCAAACAGGTCAAGCAAATGAAAAACTTAATAAATAGTCTCGTGTTTAAAAAAAAAAATGCTGGTTTTGAGGATAAAATACCAAGTCTCTTTCCTTCCTCTTTCCTATTTGTAACTCATAAGCACAAGCTTTTCAGTAAGCTTGTGTAGATGCAAATATGGAAGACTGGATAGAATTTATTACAAATTTCCTGAATATAGAACTCAGAGAAAGAGTCCTGTGAATTGCTATAAATAAAAGAGAACCATGGTTGAATATGTGCTTTGGGAAGAAGCACAGTTGAAATATCTAAGAATATCTGCAATTAGAAAACCCTTTTGACTTCTTAACCTGCTGTTTCCTAAAGATGTTTGCGTGTTCAGTATTCGGTATAATGCACCAAGCATATTTATAAAAAAATGCAATGTATCTTAAGGAATTTACATTTTATTTGCCAAGATGTTTAAGAATTTTGTTTTCCTGTTGTTGGTGTTCAGTCACTAAGTTGTGTCCGACTCTTTGTGGCCCCATGATCTGCAGCACACCAGGCTTAATTCTTCTTTAAAAAATTGTTAATTTTTTAACTATAGAGAAGCGTTGTGTAGGAATATGAGTCTGGGGCAGCAGGAGCTGAACATTTAAGGCTAATCCAGCAATGTGTGAATATAATACACTTAAATTATGGAAGAATATAATGAGCAAAATGTGTTCCTTGTCTTTTTTGTGTCTTCCTCTTAAGGCAGAAAAAAACAAAGATAAACTCAAAAGACAAGGCATAACAGTTGGTACAGAAAGGTCCACAGAGTACAGAATCATGAGGTTACAGAGGGGCTGAGAAAAC